AACATGTTATTTACAGGCTATTATAAACTGTAAACATGTTATTTACATGCTGACCTTCTATTATAAACTGTAAACATGTTATTTACATGCTGACCTTTGTGTTGTTTGTGTCAGGTGTGGATGGGGGACATCCGTCAGTCTTTGCTGCCTCGGGACGTCCTGAGCGGTGCCAAAGAGCTGCTGTATCACCTGGACATCTACATCTGTAACCTGCTGCAGTCTGGGAGGCAGCCTCCTCAGGTGGACTCCAAGACCCTGGAGCTGGTTGAGGAGTTCATTCTACATGCACCCAAGGACAGGAACGCCCCGGCCCGGGTAAGACCGGATCCTACAGGGCTTGGACAGATACTCTCTGTGGTGGACGGACAGGAAGATCTGTGTTGTTTTTTTCTTACAGAAGATGAGCGCTCTCCAGGAGCTCCAGCTGTTGGAGATCATGTGCAGCTGTTTTCAGGAGCAGAGTCGGGACACGGTCCGCCAGATGATGTTCTCTGCCCTTTTTCAGCTTCAAGGAAACCAGGCGGACGAGAGCCGCATGTTGCAGCTCAGCAAACTCGTCTCCATGGCTGTGGCTATGGGGAGGGTTCCTATTCTGGAATGTGCTGCTACCTGGTTACAGGTGAGGGTTAAATCTATTCACCATCTATTAGTGTTTGTTCTGTTTTCTTCTCTTACAGACTGGATTTTAAATAGATTTTTTTATTCAGTTTGAAGTTATGGACAAAATACTTCAGATGGATGAAGTAAACCATGGGAAAACACTTGTTCTAAATCATTTTAAATACATCAGAACTGAAAATCAGTGTGTGCATGTATTCAGCTGCCCTGCGCTGAAGCTCCTTCAGAAACTACTCGGTTAAATAAAACCCACCTGTGAGTGATCTACGGTCCACAGAGTCAGAAACAGGCCAACACTTTCTACATCATGAAGACCAAGGACCTCGCCACACAGGTCAGAGACAAAGTTGTGGAGGACAAACAGATCAGAGTTGGGTCATGAAAATATCTCACAACCCTGAACGTCCATTAAACCCATCGTTAGAAAATGATAAGACAGCAAACATGAGGGTCATGTGAGGTCGTCCACCAAAGAGTCGCACAGAGGGAATTAATCAGAGGCCAAACCTGATGGAGCTGAAATCTTCCTCAGAGACGGGAGGATCAGGACTTAGTTTCATGGAAGAGAGGACAAGAAAAACGCACTGTTTTCTATAAAAATGTGAAGAAATTAAGGCAGACTGTCTGAAATTTGTCAAAAAGTATTTTAGAGACTCAGCTGAGAATATATATCTAATATATTTATATTATATATAATATATATATATATTATATATATATATATATATATTATATAATATATCAAAGTCAGTCAGAGTCAGAGTTTCTTTATTGTCATTCGCACCTCATGTGGTACATGTGGTGGAGCGAAATTATGTACACAGGGTCCCAGTTACATCCAACAATAAAATGTATAAGAAAAACAGTAATAACATCTAAGATATGAACTAAGAAAAAACATCAACTAAATATACACTAAGCACTCATAACATAAAACATTGAACATCAGCACAAACATGAACATGAGTCTGCGAGCAGATGTGCACGCATGAACACATCAACATGAAACAGATCAGCAGCAACATGAAACAGATCAGCAGCAACATGAAACAGATCAGCAGCAACATGATATGGTTTTTCACAGTGATTATTCTAGTTAGAGATTCATGAGTCCAACAGCCCCAGGGTAGAAGCTGCTCCTCAGTCCAGTGGCTCTACACCCAACGCTCCCCAACCTCCCTCCTGAGGGGAGCGGAGCAAAAAGTGTGTGCGCTGGGCGAGTCGGGTCCCCCACGATGCAGGCGGCCCTCCTCCTGCATCTGGAGGTGTAGATGTCTGTGATGGTGGGGAGGCTGATTCCAACAGATTTCTGTGCAGCCCCCACCACTCTCCGCAAAGCCCCTCCCCCTGCAGCCGTGCAGCCTCCATGCCACACACCGACGCTCGAGCACAGGATGCTCTCCACTGCACACCTGCAGAAGGAGGCGAGGACCGAGCCCCCCAGACCAGCCCACCCCAGCCGTCCGAGGAAGCAGAGTCTCCGACGAGCCTTCTCGATCAGGCTGGTGGTGTTATATATAATATATTATATATATAATATATTATATATATATATGTATATATATATATGTATATATTTGTATATATACACATATATATATATATATATATATATATATATATATATATATGTGTATATATTTGTATATATGTGTATATATTTGTATATATATATATATATATATGTATATAAATATGTATATATATATATATATATACTGGTATATATTCTAGAATTGCACCGCTTGGGGTGGCTGCATGTTGGAGTAGCTCTCTTACATTCATTCAACCTTTATTTAAACAGGTTACTTCATTCATTCTGAAATGTTGCTGCTGGAAACTTTAATTCCTCTTTTTCTGGATGTAAATCACATTTTTTGGATGATTGTTTCCTCTGGTATCAGATGCTGTGCAGCTGGAAGGATTTTTACTGAAACTTTATTACTTTTGGGTATTTGTTATGATGCGTAACCATGACAGCAAATTGTTTTTTACAACCAGGATAAGCTGATTAACATCTCAAAGCTCAAATAATATCTCAACTACAGCCCCGAATCTCAAATGGGTTGAAAAGGAGGTGCTGTAGATGCATTCCCATCTCCCTGCCAGCTGTGTTTGAGTGCCTGACTGCTGAGATCAGGCAAGAAAAACGACTCGTGAAAGCAGAAGGACTGGGATCGTCCCCCGGCACCTACAGCCGGCTGTCTGCAATGACGGAGCTTTGCAGGCTGCTGGGAGGAGTGACCATCGCTCTCGGAGGAGTTCTGCCCGGCCTTCAGGTGGTCCTGCAGCCCATGGGAACCGAGAGGCCAGCCAAGTCTGGGTGGATGGATTGGATGCGGTCAGTTTCTTCAGATCCGCTGTGGGATGGACCTTCCTGCCTACAGCCATCAGCATCTATAACAGCACCGTCCAACCTGAAGGAGCTGGAGGTTTTTGGACATGAAGAATGAACAGAAAGTCTAGGTTAGATGGACCAAGGGTGTGGAGATGGACCTGAAGAGACTCAGAAAACAAATCAGGAAGAATGCCAGGAGGCTAAATACTCATGTAACGCACCGACATCTCAAGCATTAAATCACTGTAGAGTGTGTGTGTGTGTGTGTTCACTGACTGACCTGACCTGTGGTTGTGTGTGTCTCGTGCAGAGAACCCACCGTGTGTACTGCGTCCGTCTGGCTCAGGTTCTGGTAGATGATTACTGCAGTATGGTGCCAGGTTCGGTCTCCACCCTGCAGAACATCCACAGCATGAGTTCACGGTTCTGCTGCCAGTTCATCACAGCAGTCAGCACTCTGTACGACCTCAGCTCAGGTGAGTCCAGGTGAGCCCACAGAACAGAGCGTGTGTTACCAGGATCAAGCTGTGGACCGTCTCCCTGTGCCTCCTCAGAAGAGCTCACTCCTCCACTAGAACTCCTGCAGATGATCGTGTCATGGCTCCAGGACGACCCCCGCCTCGTTCTCATCACCTTTCTGAACATGCCCCTCTCTGGCAGCCAGCCGGTCAGCTCTCTGGACGTCACGCCGCTGGGCGGTTTGGTTCGCTGGTGCATCAAGGCGCCGCTGGCCTACAGACGAGACAGGAAGCTGGCGCTGACTGATGGGAGCTGTGACGATGAAGCAGACCCTCAGCCGCTCTTCTCCGCTCTACATCTGAGCGTCCTGCAGGTGTGTGTTCAGACTCAGGTAACAACATCATGACGTGCACAAACCTCTTGCAGTGTGTGAAAAATGTTCTTCTCCATCATGTCCAGGTCTTTATGCTCCTGCCCAACATTCTCAATGAGAAGGGTCTTTATGGTCGCCTGGCGCTGCTCCAGATGGAGTCCGTGGCTGCTCTGACCTCTGACCTGTCCCGACTTCTGGACCAGGCCGACAAACACACACACGCATCACCAGCTGGTGCACAGGCGGCGTCCCAGCTGGCTCTGGACCGCCTGGCGCAGGCCCTGCAGGTGGCCATGGCCAGTGGAGCCTTGCTCTGCACGAGAGGTGAGATGAAGGAGTAAATCCAGCCGCTCCTTACCGAGACAGCTGACCAGGTGTGGAGGAACGTGTGACTTTATGACAGCACACAGCTCCAGGGTCAAAGTCTGTGACCGGTTTGGTTTCTGAGGAATATAACGACGCTCATGTATCAGCAGCAGGACATCTGCTGGACTTCATGCTGCTAAAGTAAAGAGCTGAGTCTAATGCTGCTCATTTAAAGAACTGAACATGTCTGCTGCTGTTTATCCAGTGAGCTTAACAACTTTGAAGACAAGAGCATATTTTGCACTTCACAGTAACCACATTTGCATGAATTAGAGTTTAAACCTACCAGAAGGCTTTAAATGCTGCAGAGAGCCTAATAATAGTTGTGCTGTTAGCAGATGAGTGGAACAGAGCCCACCGCTGATCATCTGTGTGTCAGTTTGTGCTCTGGAGCATACAGGTGTGTGATAATGCAACACCGAGATGGAAAGACATCAGCAATGACCTTAGAGAAGCAGCTGTTACTCATCAATCTAAGGGTCAAAGGTCATTTCCAAACTCCTTGTATGGAGATAAATTAGTTGACATGCTTACAATAAGTTTTACAAACGTATCGTAGTTTCCGCCGCACGCGTCGCACCGTGGTATAAGTCGCATCAGTCCAAATATGTAGTAAAGTGGGAAAAACATAAATACGTCGCATCTATTACGCGCCATCGCTGACAACCTGGAAATGTAGGCGATGTTGTGCCAAAAACCGATGGGCTGCCACATGGCTGCTGCGGGAGCGTGTACAGGAGGACTTTCACAAGAATTTAACAAGATTAACACTTAAATCAATTATTTGTTTGCTCAAAATTATAGTAAAGGTGTGTCTCAGTTGAACTTTTCTTTAATAAATGCACTTTGACGGGCAAATCAGCTGCATTTATAAAGCCGATACACGGAAACAGGAGTGCACAGAGGGAGGACTCACTGTGCAGTTCTTTGAAATTTAACAAGATAAACACTTAAAAATAATTATTTGTTTGCTTGACTTTATAGTGAAGTTGTGTCTCAGTTGAACTTTTACTTAATAAATGCACTTTAACAGTTAAATTAGCTGCATTTCACCGGGGCGGTGCAGCAAAATGAAGCTGATTTGATGGTTGCTCCATGTGAGCTGGACGAAGGTGTCAGGCTGTGGCAAGCCGATTGTGTCATTAATAGCTACTTTTACCTATTACATGATACAACGGCATGCCATACTGCTCGAGTGCCATCTAGCGGCTGAAAATGGTAGTGTTCAATGTTTTCCGTCAGAATAATTGAAAACGGTCATATCTCAGCCAAAACTTGGTTTATAAATATGGAAAAAAATCCACTAATAAGTTGCTTCGGCGTATAAGTTGCAGGACATGCAAATTATGCAAAAAACTGCGACTTATAGGCTGAAAAATATGGTACACATTTCTGTTTGCATTTGTGGGAATATTCTGCACATGCAAATACACGTGCACAAATCGGTCAACACGAGCGCATTTTTCAGCTGCCTGTGAATGTGAAGGTAACGCTGCATTCAAGGCTGCTGAAAAGCTGGGACATCTGAGCATCGCCATATTTCCTGAGTTATTGTGAAAAGACTCATTTCTACCTCGGTGCAATAATTCATAACTTCTGTATTAAAAGCCTACACTGATGTTACTGGACTCAGAAGATGTTCATGTGTAGAAATAAACAGGGTTCTTGCTGCTAGAGGAGGTTGTGCAGTCAGGAGGCTTTATCCACACAGCTCCGTTTTTATTTGGGCTTTATTTTTGCTTTAATGAATCAGGAGATGGTGGAATCTTCTGTGTGTTTGAGTACTTGATATCAGATGTGAGTAATTTATTTATTTATGTCCTGAGAGCCTCAAACTGAGAGGCTGGACTTCCTATTTCCTGTGACGTTTAACTGGACCCAGCACTGTTGGCTCCTCCAAACCAGCAGGAGATAAATGTCTTCTTTCACTAAATGTGTTTTATTAACAGCTGATAGATTATCTGATCACTGACTGTTGTTACGCTCACTGCACTCTGGTATTTATTAGTTTGTCATGTTTGTCTTTCAGAGGACCTGAGAGCTGTCTGTTCCCACCTCCCTCACAACAAGTAAGAGCTCATGAGTGTGCTTTATTATTGTATCTGGTTTTATTATTAATCGTCGTAGCGTGGTGTGGCTTTCTCTACGAGTCCTAGCCAGTTATTACTGAACGCTCCAGGAGCCTCATGCATGAATGAAAGCTTGTCCTGCATCTGGACATCGTGTCTGACGCTGCAGAGAGGACAGTCCCACATGCAGGACATTTTTCTGCATCTGTTTACATGGAGGCATGTCAGGGGGCACGGGTCTCATTTCTATGTTCATCCAGGAGTTTGAAGGAAAGGTGTGCAGAAACATGCGTTCATTCAACCTTTATTTCTACTGGTTAGTTTCACTGAGTCACAAAGAGTCATGTACAAGAGAGAACTGATTTAGACAACAAAAAAAACACACAGATAAGATACACACAGCAATAAACATTCAAATAAAGCATACAAACTGAGAAGTAAATAAACGTAGTGATATGAAACAAAATTAAAAAACAGCTACATTATGAAGTGACGTAAAATACTAAAATCAGGAACATCTCTGCGATGGTTTTTGCCATAAACTTAGCAGATGTTTAAAGCTGCTTAGAGAGGTCAAGGTCGAGAGCTTCAGATCTTTTTGCAAGATATTCCAGGAAACAGGAGCCGAGTAGGAGAAGGTTCTTTTACCCAGTTCAGTCCTCACTGAGGGAACACTGCAGGTAATAATGTCCTGAGAGCGCACGCTGTAGCTGCACTCACGCAGAAACATGTAGGAGGAGATGTATGAAGGCAACAGACCAAGAAGTGATTTAAAGATGAAAATGTACCAGTGAGAGAGTCTGCGTGAAGTTAATGATGACCAGTTAACCAGTGAATACTGGGTGCAATGATGGGAAGGAAAGTCACAGTTACAAGGCGTTTCCTAGCATTCAGAGATCTGTTTCTGAAAAATAAACCCAGTTTAACTTTCAGTTTCCTTACTAAGTTTTCCACAAGAGGCTTAAAAGAGAGATGGGAATCGATCAAGATGCCCAAATATTTGTAGGAATCGACAAACTCAATAGAGCCACCATTCGTAGATAAGATAGAAGAGAGAACTGCTGGTACCGACTTCCTGTTTGAAAACAGCATCCCTTTGGTTTTATCAACATTTAGCACCAGTTTGAGACGGAACAAATCTGACTGGATGATGTCAAAAGCAGATTGTAAAAGCTGGAAAACCTTAGCAAATGTTTCAGCTCGACTATAAGTAATTGTGTCGTCGGCATAGAAATGTAAGGATGCATCAGGGATGATGTGCACGGTTTGATCTATCTGATTGTTGCTGTGCTCACACAGTTTTCATATTTTGTCACGATGCCAAGGTTCAGTCTGAAAACTGAGGACTCCTTCATACATGAGGTTCCTGGTCTTAATGTTCTTCCCCTGAAAGAATAAACTGTAGTTAATGTCAGGGCACATCCTTGTGATATTTGTCATGTGTGATGCACAAATACTGTGTTGTTATATGTGAACACTTTGACCAGCCCCCTTACTATTTGGGTCTAGTTGGTTCCTGTTTTTAAAGAAAAACTCTTGACTTACTGAGACCTGGCATTGTTTGAAAGGAACACCAGATTCTTTTAGTGTTTTATGATCTAATGCAGGGTGGCACGGTGGATCAGTTGGTAGAGCTGCTGCTTCTCAGTGAGAAGGTTGCTGCATCAAATCCCGGCTGGAGACCTTTCTGAGTGGAGTTTCCATGTTCTCTCCGTGCATGCGTAGGTTTTCTTCGGGTACTCCAGTTTCCTCCCACAGACCAAAAACATGCATGTTAAGCTGATTGGTAACTCTAAATTGTCTCTAGGTGTGAGTGAGAGAGTGAATGGTTGTTTGTCTCATTTGTCTCAATGTGTCCCTGTGATGGACTGGAGACATGTCCAGGGTGTCCCCCGCCTCTCGCACAGTGATTGCTGGACATGAGTACCAGTGACCCCCACGACCCAAAAAGGAAGAAGTGGGTAGAAGATGATGGATGGATGGATGGATGGATGGATGGATGGATGGATGGATGGATGGATGGATGGATGGATGGATGCGGG